TAACATACTTATATAATGTTAAATTTAATTAAAATAAAATGTTACATAATGAAGTCAAAATAATAGTAAAATAATCTAAAAATCGTCATTTTGCCGTCATTGTGACATAATTTTGACTTCATTGTGACTTATATTATTGCTGTTCTATCTAGGCGAAAAGTATCGATATTGCCGACTATAGATATAAATTTTTCGAGTAACAACTAACTGAATAATTAGTTTTTAATGCAATTTTAAATTCGTGATTTATTATTGTACATATGCTTTTATAAATAAGAATGTATATTTATACAATAATATCATATATTACCACAAAACTATTTTTTTTTACAGTTACCACTTGATGGATAATCAAACTCGGATGATAATATTAAAATTGTAGTTTTAAATTAAAATTGAATATTATCGGGTTTAAAAAAAAATATATATATTTATATATATATATGTAAGTTTTCGAAACAACAGGATAATAATAAATTATAAGATTATATTATAAGCTATCTAAATTTTAACAATCACGTGAAATTCAATAAGATATTGTCGGTCTTTAATAGCAGAGGGTTGGGCGTTTACGCGTAAAATATAAATAATCTACATCTACATGTATACAATGTAAATTGTTGAACGTAATCATGTAAACATTGAGTAATCCATAGAACATCGAACATTCAAGTTTCGAAATATCGGAAATTTATATTTTGTTTGCAATTTAATTTTTAGTTACTATTTTTTAGTTTAAGCACAATTTTTAGCATGCCATGTAAAATTAACAAATCAGATTAGCGTAAATAATATTTTTATATTAGTGTACAGAGAAAAAAATGATGTTGTATTAACAGCATTAGAGTTAATTAGAAATAATTTTGTTAATTTAATAACAAAGAGTATTAATGAAACAATACCTATTTTATTAAAAAAAAAATACTTATTTTATTGAAAGAAAAGCATGACGGTTAAATTAACAAGATAATTTCCAATAAGCTCTAATGCTGTTGATACACTGAAAAAAGGTTTTGGTTATATAATAACCAAGGCTTGGTGAAATAGCTTCAACTAAAAGGTTTAGTGATTATGACAAAATATTTGGTTAATGTTAACCAAATTTGTTAACATCAACCAAATTAGCTCAATTTAGAAAAGACCAAAACCCATGGTCGAAACGTGACGATTAATCCGACCAAAACCAATGGTCGAATTGTCACGACATTGCCAAATGTTGTCGATTAAAAATAGTTTTTCTTGTTAATCACCTTTGGCGGAACGGGCTTGGAAAAACATATACTTTTCTGAAATAGAATATACATTACGGCGATAATTTTACGTACCCAATAAATATTGCTATTTTATTTTAAAATTTAATTAAAATTTAAATTTTAATTAAATTTAATTAAAATTTTATCCAGTAAAAACAGATCAACCTGTAGAGGCCCTCAACTACCCCTCCAACTTTAATCGGCGGTTCTCTTTTCTTTGAATAAGTGCTTTTTTATTATTTATTATTTTTTCTTGTTATAGAATTTGCAATATAGAAAACAATATATAATTACAATTTATTTAACATAATTTATAATTTACAATCCATTTTACATCAAAAAGTAGATACGGAATTGTAACATTGTACATTATAAAGAATTTGCTTTCCAGATATTTATATACATAGATATACAATTATATTATAAATATATATATTTGAATTTTTTACTAATGCCAGAGAGAGATTACACGAAAACGCTCAAAATAAATATAATAATACAAAAATTTACTATTTTAGATCAGGTACTTTAGGTATTTAATTATTGTAAATATTTCAAAAACAATCAATTTTTTATTATTAATGTTCAAGGTACAAGTCAACGACTAAATAAAAAGTTCTATCTTTTAAGGTCTTATGTTTATTTTAGTCTTCAAAAATTGCAAGAAATAAAAAAATTACGTGGATACTGATCTAACGATTTAATCAGAGCAAAGTTTCTCCGCCGGGTGATATATACGCACGTCAGTTGTCGACATAAAGAAAGAACGATTCTTAAGATGGAAATTGAGCTCAATATACCCTGATTTTTCGAGCCCCATATAATAAAAAGAAAAAAATAAAAAATTAAGTTAATTAACAATCCATTAAACGTCGAGAGCTCCGCTGCAGGAAGGAATAAATCTCAGATCTTTCGGATTGTTTCCGATAGCGGTCATTTCGGCAGCGAGTTAACGACGTTCGTTTTTCAAATTATTGCATCTCATCTATATTTACGTACTGAAATATTCTTACACATTATTAAAATATATTTCTTTTTTATAATTAAAATATATAGTAATTATACATTATGATATATACATATTTCTCTTATTAAAAAAGTAAATGGATAGAATAATTGTTATCAAGAAATAGTTACAAACAAGTATATTTAATAATAAAATGCATGAGTCATATGCGTTTTTTAAGTAATATTTATATTCTGGGCTGGTAAAATCTAGTGTCTAGAAATGGTTTCTTATAAAAAACAAAAAATTAAAAATAAAATATATTTGTTTGTAACTATTATGTACATTACATAAAAAATGTATCAGTGTATTCTGGTTTTTTTATTTTTTTACCTTAAACCCATTCTTTATTTTTTTATTTTTCTCCTTTTTTCTCTTTCATTATCATTTTTTATTTTTCTGTTTTCTATTTTATAAACAGTTATTTTTATCCATATCCATAATGAAAGAACATTTTATTGAGAAGAACAAAATCTTCTTTTATAATGTCCTTAATTAATTTCGCGAATCGATGTCACGTACTCGTACCGAAACCATTGCTTCCGAGGATCCGAGATATAAGAAAACCAGAGATTAATTCTGGTTCTGCAACAAGGCTCTTTGATCTTTAACGGGGCATCAAACTAATAACGCCCTTGCATTGAGAATTACTACGACTCCCCGCCGATACGAACGTATTTCTTAACGTCCACCTGACGCGAGGGACAGCGATAAAGGCCGAGACAGCAATCGCATCTAAGAACGGGAAAACGCGGTCTTCAACATCGCGAAGTATCAAATATATATTTAATGAGATCAAGATAAAATTTATGAATAAATTCATCAAAAAATATAATTTTCCGTTTCGCGTATTCCAATTAATAACGAATTATGATAATTTTAAATCATGAATTTCATAATAATTTTGAAAAATATATTCGTACTTTTATAATATTAAATTTCAAGATGTCAAATTTCGCGAATGACAAGCTATTATTTGATCGTAATTCGCACCATTAAAATGTTGCATAGCAATGCCAGCGCAAGTTTCACATTGGCCGATCTTTAATTCTGAAAAAGAAGAAGGATTTATCTGGAACGTTTCAAACCATACTTTTTTTTTTTTTTTTTTTTTATAAAAATAAACGCTAAACGGCAAGCACCTTCATTAATGGTTCCTGAATTTTAATATTTGATTTTTATTTTTGCATGTGCGATTAAAGTCGCGCGCGATTTTGCGGTGATGGATGAGAAGTGCAAGTGCAGAAGTAAATAAGAAGAAAAATTTGTTAAAACTTACGGTCTATTCGCGGTACACTATACTGAACGGTGGCTGGATTTCGAAGACCAGTGGAATTATCACAGCAATGATAGTTCAATCGGAAGATCTGTCAGATCGAACGTACGAACCACACAAACTTTGTAGGCTCACAATCAGCGAAAACGAAGTGGAAAAAGATTCTCTGCTGCGAACTGTTACGCGCTACTGTCGGAGCCGGACTTGCTAGACAAGAGTCGTTACTACAAGAGTCGTGACTGTAAATTGCGGGTCGCGATCCTACCCGCGCGCTTTCATTTACTCGACCTTCCAGAGGATTCTCAATAATGAGTTGCCGATATTAGGCTCAAGACAAAGAATTTACTTTTGCGGCCGATGTAATATTTTGTGCCTCGCGATTCGCTAATTGGCGTGTGCACGGCTCAGTGCGAGTCCTCTGCAGTGAAGCGCTAATTCTGAATGAGAACGGGGAATTTATCAAGAATGAAGTTGACAGTTATTAATTTTTAATAAAATATTAATTAGACACATTTGTTCCCGGCTTCTCAAACAATGCTTGAAATCCAAATTGTAAATTTGGATAACTCGGGAAAGAGATCAATGATGGCACATATAATTATGCAATAGGTTCAATTTAAATAAAAAAAAAAATAATATTTTGCACTAATTTTAAGTGATTAATTACTAGCCAAAAAATCACTTACAGTATTAAATTTTTATAAGGGATATCTTATTTATTTCTGTATTTTCAAACAGAACTGTATTTCAATACAGTATATATGTAATTAGTGCAAAATATTATTTTTTTTATATAAAATAAATAAATTTATATAAAAAATGTAACATGTAATATAGAAACAAGAAGGTTGACAGCTTAAACTCTTGTCTAGCAAGTCTGGTTCCGACAGTAGTTCTCAAACGCACGTATTTTTAATAAAATCACCTACGCCAGACACTTACAATTAGTGCTCTTTATTCCTATGTCTCCCTCTTCCTCCCTCTTTCCCCCTTTTTGTTTCTCTCCTCCTTTCCATTTCGATTAATGTAGAACTCTGACAGCTCTAACTAGGGGATGATAATTCATTTTTTTCACATGAGATCGAATGCGTAGATTTCTTATGGCTAACGATTTTTATCGTGCACATTTTTGATTTTGTATAAAAATATATAGAATACCTTTACAGAGGTATTATATATTTGTATACATACGTTAATAACTTATGTATTTGTTCAAATATGAGGGATATAGCATAATTTTATTACATTTGAGGGTTACATTCCTTCTGGCTATCTCAAATGTGAATACATCAGTTATTATAAGGATATTTAATATGGCAAAATACTTTTATTGTGCAAATTAAAAGTTACATAACATCAAATGGTCGAATAATATTATTTCATGGATAATAGATTATTAGAAAATATTAATATAATGAAAATAAAACGAAGATAATGATATAAGGAACGATAATATATTTAAAAAAAAAATGACTTTTTGTATGTCGCAGTATTTAACTTTTAAACACATAACGTCCGTGTCGGTAACGTTAGTTTATAACGGGGGTATGTCATACCCGACTCGAGTATTTCAACTATAACTTCGCGTCTTGTGCATCAATTTTAGACTCTTTTTTTTTAAATTGTGTGCCAATTGTGTCCTGTAAGGAACAAGACCATGTACATGATATTGTGATTTAACGTTTACTTTCAAAGATATTTGCAAATAAGTCGAATAAAGTTGTAAGACAATTTTGCAGAAATCTCTTACCGACCGGGTATGGCATACCCTCGTTGTATATTTAAAGGTTAATAATGTGTATAAATTATACATTATTACTTACTTTATCTAATACACAATGATTTCAATTTCATGGAATACATAGAATTATATTACTGTTTTACGCGTGAACGAGATTTGATACAGAAAAATATCGTAATACTAAAAGAGAGAGAAAGAAAGCGAAAGAATTAAAAGCTAGCTTCTCTTTGAAGAAATAACGAAATACATGATAACAAACCAAAACCATTATTATATCATTTCTTCTTACACCTTAGAAGAGCATCTTATACCCTTTCTGATAACATTTTTGTCGATCGGTTCTAGTAAAGGATATAAACTTTGACTTAGCTTAAATGACATTAAATTGTCAAATTCTTTAATTTTATTATCGGATGAAGTAACGGTAATTTTTCTAGATGTATCAGGCAAATTCCTTTCCGCTGCCATAGCCGTAGGCATCACATGTACCGACAACTTACGTCGAGTCAACTTGCTATGTATATTTTCCTAATGGAGATTATGTTTAAAAAATATAATTAATTTATTATTTATCAAAATCACTTCTTTCACAAATTGTACATACGTAAAAAAATTATATTTTTTATTTGTTTTTGTCTATAAAAACTTCTTTTTTTTATTGAATGATATAGTCCGCTTATAAAAATAAGTGGTTACCTTAAAGAATTGCAGTAATTGTTGCTGCGTTATTGTATTTAAGTATTCTTTTTCAATATTTACTCGATTGAAATTATATACTTGGCTTCCAATTTCTTCCCAATATAAAGAGCCTTGACTAGATATCGTTTTGGGTGCCTTCAAATATAATGAAACTAGACTTTTCTTGTGGTTGTCAAAGTGTTCTTCTGACATAGTAGATATGTGATCCTGAAATGTTGTTATAGTGATGTTAACGATATTTTAAAAGAAATATACTCCAGTTACTACGTCACATAATAATTAGAATGATAAATTTATTCATATAATCATAATATTAGAATATTGCGTGAGAAATTAAAAAAAGACATGTTGTTATATAAGTATATAAGATCTTATTATACTTACAAACATAGAGTCCATAAATGAATCGATTCGTTGTTCGACATTTTGCGGGCGATGGTCACCTTGTACAACGACTGTCAAATATTGCGTTTCGTTTATTGCACATATACGACTAAATACGTCATAGCCTAATTCTTCTGTGGTCCTTAAAATATCGAAGCAAGGCTGATCAATAATTTGATTTAAAAGTGATAAAAGCATGTTCGACTCCGTTGATCGTAGACCAGTTGCGTAGTACACTATGGTACTAAAAGTTTTCTGCACTTTACTTTCCTCTTCAAATAGAACGTGGCAACCTATAGTAATTATACATTAATACACAACACTTTACGTGCTATGTTATATAATAGTATATTGTGCACCAAGGGGCGAAAGTAGCGTTTTTCTGAAAAAGCTTTCGCCCCGAGGTGTACACGATATTTTTCACAATATCTTTACGGAAAGTTCGACCTCCATGCCTAGAGAGAGGCGAGAGTGGCCATTTCACGCCAGGACGGCATAGCGGGACGAAAGTAACCACTTTCCTCCCTAGGGCGGAAAGTGGCCACTTTCGTCCCTGTTTAGCAGGACAAAAGTGATCACTTTTCGCCCTAGGGAGGAAAGTGGTTACTTTCGTCCCGCTATGCCGTTCTGGCGTGAAATTGGTCACTTTCGCCCCTCTCTACAGGCATGGAAAGTCGAACTTTCCGTGGAGGTGCTGTGAAAAAAATATTAACTCACTAAAAAGCTAATTTTAAATTTCTGGAACAAGTTGTAATCTTGATAAAATAACATTAATAATAAATATTTTTCTTATATTTTTAAATATCTATTTTCTATATGGATTGAAATAAATTGCTTTTTATTTTTCTTTATCGCCATAATGATTCTAATGGCAGCATAAGATCATTAGAAGAAACAATAAAATGTTTATATTACACTATGTTCCATAAAATAAACTGAAATTCTTTAATATAAATTCTCTTAAATTATCATAAATAAGATTTGGTCGTGTAGAGCTTACCATCTTCTAGTTTAATTTCACGATACAATACTAATTGCTTTTGGCACAAGGGTACTATGTGAGGCATTCTAGTTTTTAAATTAGACTCAATTAGTTCACCTATATCTTTAGCTTCCATTTTAGTCACGTTACCATATATTAAGCACTCTACATGCATTTTGCTGAATAACTTTGGTATAAAGAGCTCGAGTCTATCGACACTTAGATCTAATATACATCACAAATATTTTATTATGTCATTAATAAGAGTTTTAGTCGTGCTAAGGACTAAAACAATTTTGAAAAAACAAGAAAAATGATTTTAAACAGAAAAATATTAATATTTTTTTACACTTACGAGTAGTAGATTCCAATAATTCATCATTAAGCCAATGTTGTTCTGTCAACAGTATTCGTTCAAGATAATTTATTGTGTATATTGCATCGTAATTTTTGAAGTATTCAATATACTGTAAGCCATTTCAGATAAATTTAGTGCTTAATTAAAATAATGAAATTGACTACATTAATTATACATACCTGTTTCTTTAGAATTTCAAACCTCTCCGGATTAATTTCAAAATTTGTCATTTGGTCCATGATTTTTTCTAACAAACCACGTTGCTTGTCGTCGTAACCATCTATTGTTATCTAATAAAATAATTCGTTTTCTCTTGGATTATATATGCTTTTATATAAAAAATTAAATTAATGCTTATTTATAAAACATTCCGTAAACTTTATTGGAACATTACAGAAATATAACTGGTCATATTTACGAATATTAATAATTATTAATAAGAAATGAAATCTCAATCCTAAATAAGTAATATTTGATGTACATGAAGAAGCATACGCTTAAACATTACTAATCATATTAATAAGTTGAATAATAATTTATTTGAATAAATCTATTTAAATAATATACAATATTTTATTAATGTTATTATACGTATATATGCTTACTGTTATTCCATATTTCGTAGTAGTAATTTTCAATTTTAAACCAGCTAAATTAGCTATATATGTATATTCAGTAAGGGACTCACGAAGTAGTTCAACAAATATATCAGTCAAATTGGAACTGAGAGGATCCATGTAGGCGAACGGACTATAAATTAACGACAACATGAACGTTATTTGTAATTATAAAAAAACATTTTCTCTCTATTACATGAAAAGAAATTATAGCACCATTTTAATTTATATTCTTTAACTAAGAAAGTATTTTGAAATAATAGCATTCGGATATATATATATATATATATATATATATATATATATAAATCTAAATTTGTATATATATATATATATATACAGGGTGTCCGAAAAATCGCCTACTCCACTTCGGGAGGTAATTCGGGACCCAAAAACAAGCAAAAAAGTTCATACAAACATAGGTCCGGAAATGAGCCGTTTCCGAGTTATAGCCACTTTTATGTTCAAAAATCGTAATTTAGAATCCGCTTGGCATCCCTCTTTCTTAATTATTCCTTAAATTAAAAATTTTTATTTTTAAATATTTTTAATTTTTTTAATTTTAATTTTTTTATTTTTTTTTCAATTTTTTAATATTTGTAAATACGATTACATTATTTTTAAAAGAAATCAGTTGTTCTCACGGCTATTCAAAATCAGTTGTTTTCACGGCTATTCAAAATCAGTTGTTTTCACGGCTACTTGAAATCAGTTGTTTTCACGCCTATTCAAAATCAGTAAGTAAATCACGGCTTTTCAATAAGTTTCAAATTATTATTTAACAACACCTTACTTTTAGGTTGTATCTAATCTTTCCGTATTCATCAATGGATCGTTTAAGTTTTAATGAATTAGCTGATATGCATCATATGTATGGTCTTGCTCAAAGTAATGCTCCCAAGGCAAGAAGATTATACATCCAGTCTTTTCCAAATCGAGATGTACCGGGAATAGCGTCTTTTCGAAATGTAGACGGAAACTTGAGAGAATTTGGTAATTGTAATTAAAAAAAATTGAAAAAAAAAATTTACGATTTTTGAACATAAAAGTGGCTATAACTTGGAAACGGCTCATTTCCGGACCTATGTTTGTATGAACTTTTTTGCTTGTTTTTAGATCCCGAATCACCTCCCGAAGTGGAGTAGGCGATTTTTTGGACACCCTGTATATATATATATATATATATATATATATATATATATATATATACAAATTTAGATTTATTTTATTAATGATAACATTTCAGAGAAAATCAATGTATTATTTAATTATTTTAATTTTATTTAGTACGTATATTAATATATATGTATATATATACTAATCTCATTATTATGATAACTAAATAAATTAATTCACAATTACAATTTGTATAAATTGCTAGAATACATGAAATTCTGATTTAAAGTCATCTTAGTATTCTATATTTGATTAAAACAACATTGTATTTTTTACAACCACACTTATCTCATACCTAGAGAAGAGAAAGTTCATCGTCGCTTTTGGTACATAAAATACATCATCCTTTTTATACCAAACTCTTACAAACGATGTATCTTTTACAATAATAGGAAACTTTTGTACCTGTAAAATTTTACTTATTAATATGTGCAGAAAATACACAAATGGCATCAAAATTGGTGGTTTATTAGGGCAAAGGACAATTCCGTATGCAAAAGTGAGCGTGTGTAAAGCGTTTTTTGCATTACAATTTTTTTACTTGTATTATAGTCTTTTAGCTCTTTGTTATGCAAATTAATTTCTAAAACTTAGCGTTTATTTTTATAAAGTTAATGCAGATATATATATATATATATATATATATATATATTTTTTTTTTAACAGTACATAATTATTTTTATTATATAAAAAATGTGCTTAAGAACAGAATTTATTATAAACTACATTAACATTTTATATTTTATATTAAGTTTCATGACATGGTTTATGTTTCATGGAGATTTTGCTTATTGTTAGTATCACTAAGTGGTATTAAAGGATTAATATTGCAAAAAATGATAATTTTACTTACGTTAGTTTCTGTCTTAATATCAAACTTGGCCGCTATAAATTCATTTTTAGGGGGCAATTTCAGATCCGTGTTATAGCCAGCGCGGTTCCATATTTCTATTGCTTTCTGGGATATCTTTTCTTTTTTATATTTAACGTCATACCATTTCTCGGTTTTATTCGTTATACTTTCGTACGCTTTTGCGGCAACGTAAATTCTAATATTTTGCGGCGTAAAATATTCCATTAGCTCTTCGATCAAATCTGGTCGCCATGCACGTTGCTTTAAAAAGATTTCTTCCATGGGACACTCGTGCAGCCGATAGGCTATTTTAGATATGTGCTCATGAGACAAACGGTGTATGTTTTCATTATAAGTATTATTTATATTTGAAATTTGCTGAATTTCCTATAAATGTAAAATTTCCATATAAACTCCATATGTGATATACAATATTAAAGTACAAAGTGTTTAGCAAATTGCAATTCTACAATCTGCCGAGCCTTCTACAAAAGATTATATTATTTTTCACTAATTACATCATAGATCCATTTTATCGGTCCATTCTTCTTCAGCATATTGATATATTGGAACATTATTTGAACAATATCTTCTACATGGTTAATACCTTCCTCAGTTAGATTAAATACAACTGTAAAGAAATGTACGCTTGTGTCTGCAGAAACATCTCTATTTCCTACGTAGTCACACCAACCTTTGGCCTTTAAAGCTGATGATAATGAACCTTTGCTTTCGTGTGCAAGTAAATGCTTAATGTATTTGAGAGGCTATGTTAACAAATAAACAATAAACATAAGTTTCAATTAAAATGTGACATAATGATGTCTTATTATATGTACTACAATAATAACAATTATGTGTAATTAATTAGGAAAAGGCAGAGAAAAGAAGAGAGAAAGAAATAGGGAGAGAGAGAAAATTTTATAAGCATATTTTTATATAATTTCTGCAACTATATATATATATGGGACGTTTCACGTCAACCGGATCACTTGTCTGCCCAAAATTTGAAGCGACCTACAAAGACGTTCGATAGCTCAAAAAATTAGTCTTTACTAGTACTTTCGAAAGTCATGTGCCCCGTTTTGAAATCCAAGATGATCCAATATGGCGGTTGAAAGCCTGAAAATTGGAAAAAAATCTACATAATTTAACGTAATCATGTTTTTAAATATTGAGAATATTTAAAGTGGTCCGGGGTAGGTTTTTTGAATATAAGGGTGTCTTCCGCAGGGTGTATCGGTTCGGTCTCTTATGTATTTCGTATTTATTACTCAGAAATGTCTCTGTGCCAAAGTAGAAATGGGACAAATTATTTTTAAAAAATCCAAGAACGTTCCAAACTTCAATCGCTCCAGGAACGTTCCAAACTTCAACTAGCTCCCAGATTCAATATCACAGACACTGAAAACTCCTTACCAAACCATTTCAAAACCGAATCAATATTTAAAAACATGATTACGTTAAATTATGTAGATTTTTGATTTTTCTTTAATTTTTAGGCTTTTAGCCGCCATATTGGATCAGCCATCTTTGATTTCAAAACGGGGCACATGACTTTCAAAAGTACTAGTAAAGATTAATTTTTTGAGCTATCGAACATCTTTGTAGGTCGCTTCAAATTTTGGGCATCAGACAAGTGATTCGGTTAACGTGAAACGTCCCATATATATATATATATATATATATATATATATATATATACACATACACATAAAATTTTACAATATAACTGTATATTGTATACATATATATATTATATGAATTCAGGATGTCCCAATTTTTTGCGGACAATCTTTAGTAGTATGTTCTATGAGCAGAAATAAGAAAAAAATGTTATATAAACATTAGGTCCTAAAATGATTTTTTAGAAAGTTATAGCAAAAGTATGAAATATATATGTAAGAAACAATTAAACTTAAGTTTGCATGTTAAAGTGCCGCCTGCCCATACCAATATAAGATATACATCTATCTAAACTGTACCCATATGTGTTGGCGAGATAGTAAAGGTATATCTTCGAAAGCAATCGTTAAATCGTTGCTGGAGAAAGCTAAAAAAAGAATGTGAACTTAAACTGGCAAGAAATGGAAGTCAGTTATTAGCACATTGTTGTACATGCTTTTTCATATATTGCAGTTCAATTGACATTAAAAAGCTGTTTCTCGAACAGCATATGGATTTTCGTATGATCATAGTTGTTACGAAAATTGAAAACTTCGCCTTTTGTAAATGTAGCTCTTTATTATATATGTCAAGGTCAAAATCGCAGGAGATTCTGCCTTAAACTAAATAATTACCACCTCATCTAACGGCGTAACATTTATGCACAACGTGTTACTTTTTCAATACAAAATTTTAATGTTTGCTATAACTTTGTAATAAAGCATTGTAGGACCTATGTTTATACAACATTTTTTCTTATATTTCTGCTCATAGAACATTCTATTAAAGTTTGTCTAAAAAACTTGGTATATCACTCTGTATGATAATGGCAATTATGCAGAGATTACGGCTACTTTTCGAATTTAATAATTTTAAGATATATTATCAAGGTCATTAGCTTCAGCAATCTTTAAAAGGCTCTAACTAGCGACATTTATTAAAAATTTATTAACAACACAAATTTATGAGTAGAACGTAATTTTCTGACGTTATATACATTTAAAAATAAATTTATACCTTGCCGAGGCTTATATTTTTCTCTTCTTTGGTCTCTATGCGCATCAGAAATGCGAATGGGCCTCGCTTTGCGTGGAAAGTTGGAGACCAATGTGGAACCATTTTGGGTTAATGATATGTGTGCTACAGAGAAAATCTGAGAGGTGGAGGGAGGGCAGAGCCTCCCTTCTTCTACTTATACATGTGTTATTTCGTCATACATATTAGCAAATTATGTCCTCCATTGCTGAAGACAACTGTTACATTTAAAAAATTTTTTTGTTATTAACTTTTTAATAACTATTTGATGAACAACGGCCAACGACTAAAACTTTTTAAATATATATTATATTTGTTGGTCATTTATTACTTCGTTAATAAGCTAATGACTTTGATAATATATTTCAAAATTATTGAAATTGGAAAGAGTCCCTATCTTTCTGCATAATTACCATAATTATATTTAAAAGAATTAAGATAAAATATTCGTATAAACTGTATAAAGTATTAAAGCCGAAGGGAAGGTATATTATATTACCATCCGGTGTTCATGCTGCTTTTCAGGTAAAGCAAACGAAATATCTAAATATCTGATATCATGTATCGGAATGTAGTACCATATAGTGTTAAAGTCTTCATCTTTGAATGGATATTCAGAATACACAGGAAGTTCAACTTCTTTGTTTTTTACATTACGAAAGCGTTTTACTACCATATTTTCGAGATCATCTAAACCATCTAAACAAAAACATAGTTTGTTAATGTAACATACATACGCTATAAATATGTAACAAAAATTATTATATCTGTTCATGGCAAAAGATATAGATTCTTCCAAAAAGACAAATATTATTGGAAATATATATTACTTTGTATTACAATTAGTTATTTTACATTTTAATCCAACCTTTTTTAATCTTTTGAGGCCACACGAGGTGGCGGCCACTCCGACCAAAATTCAGGGCCCAATATTTTTAATTCTTGATTTTTTATCTTAGTTATCTTTTCTGATATATTTATGTAATATTTGTTAATACAAATACACTTTAGTTTACTTTTAATTAAGAGTACATAAATTAAAATGTACAAATACGCGTTCGCTTTACCTATCCAAAATTTCAACTTTGATCCTTAAAGTAATTGCTTTTGGAGCGCCCATATAAAACATATTTCTTACCTTAAAATAACACATTTTACATAATTTCTTAAATGGTTCTTAAATCGCTACTTAATATTGATTCTTAAAATATATACAAATTTTTAAATTAAAGAAGTCATTTTGCCAAATTTTTTTTTGATTTTTTAATAAAAAATAGGGAGCACATTTCAGGTTCTGCGTTATACATATTTTTGACAACACCCTTAAGATGTTTTCTGAATTTTTACGTGCACATTAATTGGAATTATGAGACTTTAAATCCGTCTGAGTGGCGACCACCCTAGGATGGCCGGGGCGTATTAAAAAGAAAGGTGTGGCCTCGAGAGGTTAAAAATACTGATTAAAATAATAATAGTATACTGGTTAAAACGAATTTAGAAAACAATTAAAATTTTATGTAGCAATTTTATGAAGACCAATTTTCCAAATATTTTCTTTTATACTTATGTATGTACCGATAAGATTCTCTCTTGAAGATAAGATAATATAATATTTAATACAATAACTGATAATAAAATATGCATTAATTCATTAATTATAAAAATTTCATTTATTATTATTTAGTAGGGGAGAGTTGCCGAATGCGTACCGGTTGCCCAAATCGTACCTCATTAATATTTTATTATATTATTACTTAATATAAGCAACATTTAGTAACAAAAATATGAAATAAATAAGAAATGAGTAATATAGACAAAACATTAACATGACATTCCACAGATTACATCTTGTTTTGTGTGTGTGTGTGTGTGCGTGCTAACACATTTAAAAATTTCACATACAATTGATGTAAATTTTTGATTAATTTATATAGCTTTTTATAAAATCTACCAAGTTTTCTAAATTGTACCATAAAATTTCTTATATCGTGCTGGTGTACAATCTAGGAATTTGTGCTGTATACTTATGCGCACGCATCTCTACGTTACGTGACATAATTTAAATTATGTTAACACCACAGTAACGTCCTTATATTTTCATTATTGTGATTTATTAATTATTAATTATTAAGTATAAATTTTTGATAAATTATTAGTAAAATAAGTATAAGTTAACTATTTCTTTCATTAGGCTTATATTTTTAATTATTTTTATTTATAAATTAGATACTTTCAAGAAGGATATGATTTAAAAGACCCACAGGTACAATTTAGGCGACCGGTTGTTTAAATCGTACCTTTTGCAGCATGTTACGAAAAGACTTAAAACAAATTAATTTGTTATTGGTGAAAGGTCAAACATGTAATAATAGGTGCCTGAAACATCAAGCTATAATTTCTAACGTTTGTTTGCTTACAAATTACTACCAAATGGGAAATATAATAAAAAATAATTTAAGTGGTACGCTAACTACCCTACTTATTTCAAAATTCAAATATCTTTATATATGTATAACAGTGTAAAGAACATTTAAATGTTCTGATCATAAACAGTTCTAAATTATCGCCGTACCTTTACCAAGAATACACAGCGACATAATATTTGCAGAATAATATATGTCATAAAACTCTAATAGTCTATTTCTAACGTTAATGTTCTTCTCTTTCGATATTTTGCTTAATGTCTCTCTAGTGCCTGTGCTGAATTTTGAATACGGATGATCTGGTTTTACAGATAATTTATGTAATTGAAAAAGTAGCCGTATGTCTTTCGTTAAATATTCCTCGTGTTCTGGATGTATAGCTCCATTTATCACCTTCTCTATTAAAGTCTCGCTAAAGAGAGGCGCTATGAAAAACTGCGCAAATATATCTAAAGCTCCTTCCAACTTCTTCGGAATTATATTGAAATAATAATTAGTGCAATTTAATTTTGTCGTTGCATTGTCCCAACCGCCATACTGCGACAGGTACTCATTGTAATCATTTTGTTGAGGATATTCTTTCGTTCCCAGCAGTAACATATGCTCGCAAAGATGCGCTAATCCAGGTAGATCATCTGGATCGTGTTTGAAGCCTGTAACATATTTTATCTCTAGTTAAGTAATTTTTGAAATTGATAATATATGGAACATTAATTAACCCTTTTGGTACAGAGAGTACGTGACTTCAGTCACTGTCCATATGCTGCTCACTGCGGCCGAGCAACTTAAAATGTTAACTTGAAATGCTTCTGTTAATTCATTTTTTAAATTGTTTTTGTTATTAAGTTTTATTACATATAATTTGAAGACGTTGAACGTTGAGTGCCTAGCTCTGTCGACCAAATCGCGTATATCGGCGGATCGACGCTTCGACCACTGGAGGGCCGTTCGCGTCCCGGTCGCTCCGTACCAAAATGGATAATAGAAACATATTAATCTTTGATTATATATATATATATACATATACATATCATATATGTATATATATATGCGAAATTACAAAATACAACTAAATCTGTCCACAAGAAAATGTAAACAATAATAGAATGACTCAGAACAAGGAGAATACATAAACTGCACATCAAAACATTAAATTTATAGGTATACAGCAAATATATAATGTTAGTAAGCAAATTACAGATTAAATTACAAAGACCTAAATGTTAACACATTAAAGTATATTAAATATTCGTATAAAACTAATGAAAATGTTATTTATTCTTTGACGATGTATTTTTTTGTCAATTTATAATTTATACACAGTATAATTTTATAAGAAAGTTCATATAGGTAGGTATTGCTAGAAACACCAAGTTAATACAGAAATACAGAAATAACATAAATATAATTACCGATATTAACGTCCATTGCAGCAATACTCATGTCAGCTTTTGAATCGCTTATTAAAAGAATTTTCATTTTATTTCTAAGTATTAAGCCTCTGTACAATTTATGGTCATTATCTGCATGTTTTATGTTATCAAATCGCTCCTCCACATCAGTCGACATAATGGTCACCAGTGCCGCAGACTCAAAAATATTATTTCTAAACGTGAAAAAAATACACATAAAGACTTGAAGGATATATGAAATTGTCAATTTATTATATCTATACATCAACGATGCTGAAAAATATTGTAACAAATAAAATTATAACTTCTTAAGAATTATTCGCATCATAGTCTGTGCCCGAGCAAAGGAAAAGAAAAAAGACCTTCGAGATTCACTGTAAATGCGGAAATTATAGATTATATTCGTCTAATAGTTGTATTTACATAGTCTTAAAATAAATATTTATTTACAGAATATGTATAAGTTCAGCCGAGAACGGACGCTGGAGCTACTGAAACACTCTATAATGTCGAAAAAATGAAGCTCACATCAGTAATTTTATGTGCTTCTTTTTATTCTCAAATATCTTTTTGGTTTCCCCTTTTCTCGGAAAATGTTGAATAAATCTATATACGTATTGTCCTCAAATACTGCTAAATTATAAAACAATCCAAAATATGCAATATATAATTAATAACAATAAGTTTTAATTATTAATAACAATAAGTTTTAATTTATAAAAGTAGCCCCAGAGCACCGTTTATGGGGAAAAAAAAATTGGCGCTTGTTTCCGGATTCTGCGAGCGGCGGAAAGCAATCGCGATTCCGCGAACGATAGAATAATGTTCAATTCCGCAAGTCATCTACTTTAAACCCACCTCACTTACCTGTGAGAATATCTAGACTTGTCGTGAGCCGCTAAAGTCTCTTTTGGAAATCGCCGAATGAACGGAAAGGCACGTAATCTTTTTCGGACCGCAAGAGAATTACACACTGTCGCAACTAAAGACTGGAGGTCGAGTGCGAGCCCGCGCGCGAAGGTCCGGGGTTTTATCTTCGCTAAATTTGGAAATTTCTCAAACTCCGTACCACTAGCAACGAGCCAAAGAATTCACCGGGCCAATCGGTTGTCGACAGCCCGAGAAATCAGCTAATTTTCCGAGTGTTAACGACTCAGCTGATCTCGACAACCGATCAGTTCTTGTTGTATACCGACTCCTCGTTTTGCCCCGAGTGTTTACCTCGTGCACTGAGGCCCCGAGATAAAGAAGTTGGCGTAGACAAATACGAAACATCGTTTTTCTTGTTTCTTGAGAAATATACCGTCTATTCCGGATGTAAAATCAATTGGTTAGATTTAGGATATCATTTGCACCGTTAACGTCGCGAAAACCATGCAGATTTGTAGGAAAAATTTATCAACATTTTAAGGTTTTCATTAAGAGGTATAGAGAAAAAAAGGTTCGATTTTAAACAGTCTTTTTCGGAAAATCTCTAACAATGAGTCACAAAATATTTATTAAGATATCAATAATATCAAATGTTACATAAAACATTGAATAAAAACATTAAAATGTTGCATAGCAATGCCAGCAAGTTTCACATTGGCCGATCTTTCTGAAAACGAAGAAGGTTTTATCTGGAACGTTTCAAACAATACTTTTTTTGTTTTTTATAAATTTAATAACGGCAAGCACCTTTATTAATGATTCTTGAACTTACGCGATTTCGCGGTGATGGAAGGAAGTGCTAGTGCGGAAGTAAAGAAGAAGAAGAAAAGTCTGTTATAACTTACAGTCTATTCGCGGTACATTATACCACAGCTGCCATGGATTTCAAAGACCGGTGGAAGTCTGGATCGCCCGCACGGGATGCAATTTAGCGCGGCGGAATTATCACAGCGATGATAGTTGAATCGAAAGATCTGTCAGATTGAACATACGAACCACACGAACTCTGTAGGCTCACAATCAGCTGCGAAAGGGACGCGGAAAAAGACTCTCTGCTGCGAACTGCCTACGCGCTACTGTCGTTACTACGTGACTGTAACGTGCGGGTCGCGGTCCTATCCGCGCGCTTTTATTTACTCGACTTTCCAGAGGATTCTCGATAAGTTGCCGATTTTAGGTTCAAAACAAAGAATTTACTTTTGCGACCGATGTATTGTGCCTCGTGATTCGCGAGTGAGGCGACCCGCGCCACGAGCACGGGTGCTGCTAATTGGCGCGTGCAAGGCTTAGCGCGTTCCCTCTGCAGTGACGCACTAATTTTGAATGAGATGAAACTTGTCAGGAATAAGGTTAATAATTATTCATTTTTAATAGGATATTAATCAGACACATTTGTTACCCAGCTTCCCAAACAATGCGTGAAGATAGCAAATTTGGATAACTTAGAAAAAAGGTTAATGATGGCACATATAATTATGCAATATAGGTAAATTATGCAATTTAGATAAAAAGAAATAATATTTTAATAATAAAATCAAAATTGAGCGACTCAACTGGCCAATTCTCATTTATTAAAACTCACGTTTCAACTATAATCTGGTCCTTCTCAAGTGAGATATTATAATTTAATACGCAACGTTAAACATCACGCGTCGCCAGACGTTTGTATATATTTTGACTACATCGTGCGAACGCCAAGATGTTTAGTGTGTCAAAGAAATGAAAATGTGAAATTGTAAAAATGGAAAGAAAATTAAACTGAACATCTTCTCCACTATATCCGTACCGTGTCATGGCCAAAGTCACAATGATGATAATAAATATTTTGCAATTATTGTATTAAAATACAATTCTGTATATGGAAATACAGAAAGAGATTAGATATGTAACATGTAATATAGAAACACTATGTAACGCATAATATAAGATTAGTAATATTTAAATAATATTGAGATACATATACTCATAGATAATTTGACCAGATTAATAAGTCGTTATTATTATATCTTTTCCTTATTTTATTGTTGTTTTTAGACTAGTCGCTTTTTTTATTTACTTTTTTACGTATTTGGCGTTGCGACGCTATATCGTGTCGCTGGAAAAACATTACCTTTTGATTTTAATTATGACATTGAAGAACTGTAATGCATCTGTATGGATAGAATTGAAGAAAAAGAGGTAGATGTAGGCTTTTCGGTGTCCTTAGTAAGAACTCCTTACTACCCCTTTCCACACAATTGTCGCCATTATTCTCAACAGTTGAAATCGTCCTCATCGTCGCATCATCGTCGACGTTTCTTGCACCCTTTATCTGGAGCATTGGAGCAATTATCTTTATGAACTATCTTTATCCATCTTCCATTCTCCTACACTCCCTTCCTATATATCGTCGTACATAGCGAAGAGGGTTGACAGCTTAAATTTTGATCTAGCAAACCCGGTTCCGACAGTAGTTCCTAAACGCATGTATTTTTAAGAAAATCATTGACGCAGACACTGCGTGCTCTTTATTCTCCTGTTTCCCTCTTCCTCTCTCTCTCTCTTTCTTTTTTTTCCCTTTTCCTTTTTATTTCGATTAATGTAGAACTCTGACAGCTCTAACTAGGCAACTAAGAGATGATAATTCATTTTTTTCACATGAAATCGATTGCGTAGCCTTGCTATGGCCAGCGATTTTTATCGTGCATGTTTTTGATGTTCCCTGTTTAAAATAATAGATACAATATGATCAGATTATATTATATTACATTCAATTTCAATGTAAATGAATAAAAACCTTATTAATTTACATTGAAATTGAATGTAATATAATGTAATCTGATCATATTATATCTATTATTTTAAACAGGGTTGTATAAGAATATATAGAATACCTTCACATACAACGACAATTTAAATCTAATAATAGTGTAATGTGTAATTAATAAGTAGAGGTATTATATATTTGTATACATACGTTAATAACTTATGTATTTTGTTCAAATATGAGGGACGTAAGACAATTTTATTACATTTGAGGATTATATTCTCTCTGGCTATCTCAAATGTAAATAAAGTTATTAATAAGATTATTTGATATCAAAATATCTTTATTGCGCAATTTAAAAGTTATAAAACATCAAATGGTTAAATTATAACATTTCATAGAAAGATAATAGATTCGAAAATATTAATACAACGAAGATAAAATAAAGATAATGATATAACGAACGATGGATATAGCTTAAAAAATGACTTTCTGCATGTATCACGCGGTATTTTATAATGTGTATAAATTATACGTTATTACTTATTTATTTAATATACAATGATTTCAATTTTATAAAAATAGAAAATTATTTTACTGTTATGCGTGAACAAGATTTGATACAGAAATATATCGTAATACTATATAAGAGAGAAAAAGAGAAAGAATTAAAAGCTAGCTTCTTTTTTAAGAAATAACGAAATACATGATAACAAACCAAAACCATTATTATATCATTTCTTCTTACATCCTAGAAGAGCATCTTATATCCTTTCTGACAACATTTTTGTCGATCGGTTCTAGTAAAGGTTATATTATTAAATATATAAACTTTGACTTAGCTTAAATGACATTAAATTGTCAAATTTCTTAATTTTATTATCAGATGAAGTAACGGTAATTCTTCTAGATGTATCAGGCAAATTTTTTTCCATTGCCATAGCCGTAGGCATCACATGTACCGACAACTTACGTCGAGTCAACTTGCTACGTATATTTTCCTAATGGAGATTATTTAAAAAATATTATTAATTTATTGTCTATCAAAATCACTTCTCTAAAAAATTGTACGTCATATAAAAAGAATTATATTTTCCATTTGTTTTTCTCTATAAAATTATTTCTTTTTCATTGAATGATGTAGTCCGTATATAAAAATAAGTGGTTACCTCAAAGAATTGCAGTAATCGTTGCTGCGTTATTGTCCTTAAGTAAGGCACTTCAATATTTACTCGATCGAAATTATATTCTTTGCTTTCAATTTCTTTCCAATATAAAGAGCATTGACTAGTTATCGTATTGCCTGTATTGATCAAACGTACAACTAGTCCTTCCTTGTAGTTGTTAAATTGCTCTTCTGGCATATTAGTTATATGTTCCTGAAATGTTGTTATAGTGATGTTAACGATATTTTAATAGAAATATACTCTAGTTACTTCGTCACATAATAATTGGAATGATAAATTGATTCATATAATCATAATATTAGAATATTGCGTGAGAAATTAAAAAAAAAAACATGTTGTTATATAAGATTTTATTATACTTACAAACATATTCTCCATAAATGAATCGATTCGTTCTTCGACATTTTGCGGGTTACGTTCACCTTGTACAACGACTGTCAAATATTGTGTTTCATTTATTGTACATACATCACTAAGTATTATATAGCCTAATTGCTCCGTGGTTCTTAAGACATCATAGCAAGGCCCGCTAATAATTTGTGCTAAAAGCGATAAGAGCATATTCGACTCCGTTGATCGTAGACCAGTTGCGTAGTTCACAATAGTACAAGAATTTTCATGTACTTTATTTTCCTCTTCATATAGAATATGGCAACCTACGGTGATTATATCAATACACAACATTTTACGTACTATCATATAAAAAATATTAACTTATTAAAATTTATAGAACAAATTGTAATGCTAATAATATAACATTAATAATAAATATTGCTTTCTTATAGAATAAGCTTTGTTGTCATAAACCTCATGTATGAACCTTTGATCGCGAAAGCTAGGTCTAATAAACTAAATCTTAAAGAATTATATGTATATGAAATAGGGGTAGAAAAAACCGAAGAAAAAATTGTTTTTATTTTTATTTTTTGATGCCAATGTGTTCTGAATGTTCTAAAACGTCGGAAAATCGCATTAAAAGAAATGTCTTTATGTATGTAATACACACTTATAACTCGAAAAGTACTTAATAAAAAAATATTTTTTTATAATGTTGTTTTGGAAACTTTTCGAAGTAAGCTCGAAGAATATGCGATAAAAAATGAGAGTTTTAATTGTTTTAAAAGTTTTCAAGCTACCACAGATATTTTTCAAAAAATTCAAACTTTTATAAAAAAATGACCTCCTTTACTGATTATCGCCAAATTCACTACCAATATTCTCTTAATGATACTCTACATTAAAAAAAAATTGAGCCCAATATCTAAAAAATTACGGAAGTTAGAGCAACTACAACATTTCAAATACCATACACTTACACACACACACACACATCTTTAAAACAATTAGACTCTTCCATTTTTTATTACATATTCTTAAAGCTTACTTTGAGAGCTTTTCAAAACACTATAAAAACTATTTTTTATTAAGTACTTTTCGAGTTATTACGGAAGTTAGAGCTACCATAACATTTCAAATTCTATAATTTTTTTAGAAATGTCTGTATAGTATAGCTCTAATTTCCACAAATTTTGAGACATTGGGCTATTTCTAATTCTTTGTATCCTTCAGTCTTTTCTACCTCTATTCTATATATAATTCTTTAAGATTTGATTGATTAGACCCAGTTTTATACAAGATCAAAGGTCTATATGCGAAGTCCATATATGGACCATGTAGTCTGAACTCCCAAAATCAACATCGATTTGACATTGCGTCGATTGAATTGTAAAACCGCACTTGTGCAACTAAGCTGACTCTCTTTCAATTCATAAAAAGGTTAAATTTAAAATTAAAAAAAATGTGCAAACTAGAAACTTGCACATTACTTTCTCATCATTACAGATCGCTACCATTGCTCCTATTTTATTTCGCTCATAAAGCTTCCTCTATGAGAAAGCCAAACTAATAAATACTAATAATTATGCATCAAATAAAATACAAACTTCCTCATATAAGAGGAGCTTTGTGGGCGAAATAGGAGCAATGGTAGCGATTTGTAATGTTTTCTTATATTTTCAAAAATCTATTTTCTATATGAATAAATTGTTTTTTTACTTTTATTAGTTTTTTTTCTTTATCTCCGTAACAATCCTAATGGCAACATAAGATCATTAGAATATACACTAAAATATTTATATTGAAATATTTCATAATATAAACTGAAATTCTTTAAGCATATAAATTCTTTTCAATTATCATAAATAAGATTTGATCGTGTCATGAGCTTACCATCTTCTACTTTAATTTGACGATACAATACTAATTGTTCTTGCAACATGGGTACTATGTGAGGCATTCTAGTTTTTAAATTAGACTCAATTAGTTCACCTATATCTGTTGCTTCCATTTCAGTCACGTTACCATACATTAAGCAGTCTACATGCATTTTGCTGAATAACTTTGGTATAAAGAGCTCGAGTCTATCGATACTTAGATCTATATATTATAGAAATGATACATATATATATATATATATATATTATTAATAAGTACAATAACCATACTAAAGGATCAAAAAGAATTTTCGAGAAAGAAAAGAAAATTGTTTTTAACAATAAACATTAGTTCTCTCTTACACTTACGAGCAGTAGATGCCAATAATTCATCGCTAGACCAATGTCGTTCTGACAACAGTATATGAAGATATTCTTTTGCATGTTTAGGAGTTTGCAGTATTGTAGCGAAATTTTTTAAGTACTTGATATGCTGTAAACCATTCCACATAAATTTGATATTTAATTAAATTAATGAAATTGACTGCATTAATTATACATACCTTTTCCTTTAAGACTTCAAACCTCTTCGGATTAAGTTTAAAATTTGTCATTTGGTCCATGATTTTTTCTAACAAAACACGTTGCTTGTCGTCGAAACCATCTATTTTCAGCTAATAAAACAATCCGTTTTTCTTTATTATAAATATTATATATGCTTTTACATAAATCATTAAATTAATGCTTATTTATAAAACATTCCGCAAACTTATTAGAACATTGCAGAAATATAACTGGTCATATTTACGAATAACAATAATTATTAATAAAAATTAAAATCTGATTGCTAAATAATATTGCTAAATAAGTAATATTTGATGTACATGAAGAAGCCTTATACTTAAACGTTACTAATAATATTAACAAGTTGAATAATTTATTCGAATAAATCTATTTAAATAATATACAATATTTTATTAATGTTATTATATATATGCTTACTGTTATTCCATATTTCGTAGTAGTAATTTTCCATTCTAAAGAAGTTATATCAACTGTATGCATAAATTCATGTTTATGTATATTAACTATACATGCATATTCATCAAGAAAATCACGAAGTAGGTTGACAAACATATTAGTCAAATTGGAACTGAGAGGATCCATGTAGGCGAACGGACTATGAATTAAAAACAACACAAACATTATTTATAATTATAAAAAAATATTTTTTTGTCTATTATATGAAAAGAGATTATAACACCATTTTAATTTATATATTCTTTAATTAAGGTGGCATTTTGAAATTACGGCTAATTTATATATTCAGAAATATATGAATGTACAAATTTAGATTTATTTTAGTATTGATATTATAACATTTCAGAGATAATCAATTTATTATTTTAATTTTATTTAGTACGTATATTAATATATATGTATACTAATCTCATTATAATGATAATTAAATAAATTAATTCACAATTACAATTTGTAGTTGTTAGAATATCTCAAATTCTAATTTAAAATCATCTCAATATTCCGAATTTGATTAGAACAACAATGTACTTTTTACAACACTTATCTCATACCTTACGAAGTGGAAGATCATCGTCGCGTGCGGTAGACGAAATACATTATCTTCTTTATACCAAACTTTTACAAACGACGTATCCTTTACAATTCTTAGAGGAAACTCTTGGTCCTGTAAAATTTTACTTGTCAATATATGTAGAAAATACGTATAAATGACATCAAAATTGGTGATTTATTAGAGCAAAGCAACAATTCTGTATGCAAAAATGAGCGTGTGTAAAACATTCTTTGCATTACAATTTTTTCCCTTATATTACAATCTTTCGGCTCTGTATTATATAAATTAAATCTTAATAATCTAAATCTTAACGTATATGACATGGTTTATGCTTCATGGAGATTTTGCTTATTGTTAGTATCACGAAGTGGTGCTCAAGGATTAATATTGCGAAAAATGATAATTTTACTTACGTTAATTTCTGTCTTAATATCAAACTTGGTCGCTATAAATTCATTTTTAGAGGGCAATTTCAGGTCCGGCAATTTATAGCCAGCGTGGTTCCACATTTTCATTGTTTTCTCGGATATCTTTTCTTTCATATATTTAGTGCCAAACCATTTCTCGGTTTTATTCGCTATACTTTCGTACGCTTTTGCGGCAACGTAAATTCTAATATTTTGTGGCGTAAAATATTCCATTAGCTCGTTGATCAAATCCGGTCGCCATTTAGGGAAATCACGTAGCAACGAAATGATATTTTCCATGGGATATATGTGCAGCAGGTAGGCTATAGTAGCTATGTTATTAGGATTCCAAGAGTGTATTTTTGCGCTTCTGTACCTATTACACATATTCCAAATATGTAGATGTTCCTAAAAAATTAAAAATTAAAAATTTCCATATAACTTCATATCTGATATACAATATATTAAAGTACAAAGTGTCTTGCAAATTGCAGTCCTACAATCTGCCGAGCATTTTACGAAAGATTAAATTATTTTTAACTAATTACATCGTAGATCCATTTCATCGGTCCATTCTTCTTCAGCATATTGATATATTGGAACATTATTAGAATAATATCTTCTACATGCTTAATACCTTTTTCAGTTAGTTCAAATATAACTTTAAAGTAATGTATGCTTGTGTCCGCAGAATCTTTTCCAGCTATTATAGTGTTACACCAACCCCTGGCCTTTAAAGCCGATACTAATAAACCTTCGCTTTTGTGTTTAAATAAATGTGCAATGTAATCGAGAGGCTATGTTAACAAATAAACGATAAACATAAGCTTTAATTAAAATGTGACATAATGATGTTTCATTATATGTACTATACAATAATGACAATTATGTGTAATCAATTAGGAAGAGACAGAGAGAAAATTTTATAAGCATATTTTTTATAACTTATTCCGCAACTAGGTATTTATGGACATAAAATTTTACAATACAACTGTATATTGTATACATATATACAGGGTGAAGCAATATAACTATTACCACCTTAAATATTCAAATGAGAAAAATTAGTGTAACCAAAATTATACGATACGAAGGGGGCTATCATATAGCGATAATAATTTTTGTCCAGGTGGAGGCGCTTCGGAGATATCAAGAGCATCTTCATTTTTTTAAATTGATTCGGTACATTTTTTTCCATAATATGATAGAGGAGCTGAAAACAAGTTCAGAACTCATGACACAAGATCATTGAACAAGATTTAAAGTAAAGAAAAAACGATATGTATATTTAAAGTGAAGAAAAAACGATAATAATCCGTTGTTGCAAATCTTGAGTTGTAGTTGATTCTTCTTTGCAGACCATGTCCTTTAGAGTTCCCCATAAAAAGAAATCCAGTGGTGTCAAATCTGGTGAACGAGCTGGCCACACTACACGACCTCCACGTCCAATCCAACAATTCGTAAATTTTTCATTGAATTTATTTCTTGCAACAAATGAAAAATGAGCTGAGCATCCATCGTGCTGGTACTACATTGTTCGTCGTATAATTAAAGGCTAAACGTTATTAAAAGAGCAAGCTAATCAGTGATCGAAAGAATCCAGTGTTGCATCGATAATGATGGCCATCACTTCGAACATCTTCTTTAAATGTAAATTTCATTTAATACAAAAATTTATTTTTTAATCGTTTTTTCTTCACTTTAAATCTTGTTCAATGATCTTGTGTCATGAGTTCTGAACTTGTTTTCAGTTCTTCTATCATATTATGTAAAAAAATGTATCAAATTAATTTAAAAAAATAAAGATAATCTTGATATCTCCGAAGCGCCTCCACCTGGACAAAAATTATTATCGCTATATGATAGCGATAATAATTTTATTAATAATTTTTTATTAATAATTTACGATACTTCGTACCGTACAATTTTGGTTACACTAATTTTTCTCTAGGCCTTATAGATTCGAATATATTTAAGGTGGTAATAGTTATAATATTGAATTAATATATGTATACAGAATATCTTAATTTTTGAGGACAAACTTTAGTAGTATGTTCTATAAGCAGAAATAAGAAAGAATGTTATATAAACATAGGTTCTAAAATGCTTTATTAGAAAGTTATATCGCGATCTTGATCTTATATTGATGTATTCTTTTTTACATCAGATTGAGAAATTTCATTTCAAATGTGACGCAGTGCCTCTTTAATCTGATGTAAAAAAAAATGTATCAATATATGAGATCAAGATTGCGCGATACGCGTGACATGGCGAAAAAGTGACAACACTTCTTGCTAAAAAAACTTCTACATGTACATACATACAATGTACACTCCATATACACATACATACGCGATGTGCAAAATCCAACTGAGCAACCTGCCCGTAGTGCACATCAGGTTACGCAAATGCCAGCGGGATCGTGCTAAAATCGCAAAAAAACAGGGGTTACTTTAAATTATCGATATCTCGCTAAATAATAATCAATGTAGGAGAAAATTCTGTTTTTTTCATTTGAAAAAGCAAAGTCTGTACTTTGAGATGGTATCAATGATTATGTTCACCAATTTTTTTATTAGATGATGGAAGACTGTAAATTTCAAGATTTTGGAGAAATACGTCCTTTATTCAAAACAAACCACGCCTTTGAGTATAAACCTGAATAAAAATTGAACAAAAGCACCTTATAGTAGAGAGTTTGCCCTGTAAAACCTTTTTTAAAATTTTTTTTTACGTTAATTATTTGCTGAGTAATTACAGTTTAAACATGGGCAAAAATTTACTAGCAAAAAGTGATCCCCTATTTTTTTTAAACAGTGTATACATATATAAGAAACAATTTTACTTAAGTTCGCATTTCAAAGTGCCGTCTGCCTATACCAATACAAGATATACATCCATCTAACATCTAACTGTATCCACATGTCTTGGCGAGATAGTAAGGATATATCTTCGAAAGCAATTGCTAAATCGTTGCTGAGAAAGTTCAAAAAAGAATATGCATTTAAACGTTTTGACAACAAATGGAGGTCAATTAGCATATCGTTGTATATGTCCATACATTACAGTTGAATTTTAACTACAGAGTCGTTAAAAAGCTATTTCTCGAACAGCGTATGGATTTTCATGACTGTGGTTGTTACGAAAATTGAAAACATCGCCTCTTGTAAATGTATCTTTCTATAATATATATCAAGGTCAAAGTCGCAAGAGGTTGCTTCCCTAAACTAAATAATTACTACAGTATCTAACGGTGTAACATTTACGACTCGACGTGACACTTCTTCAACACGAAATTCTAACTTTTGCTATAACTTTGTATTAAAGGCATTTTAGGACCTATGGGCTGTACTTCCGAATGACTCACCCTTCCGATTGAGATGCGGTTTTGCAAGTAATTTTGTCACGATGCACAGTGGGCCGAAACCGATCAGAAGCTGGACAAAATTCAAAACCTCATGTAAATGAAAAAATCCATTTTTACAGAGGGTTTTTGAGGTCGCTGAATTCGAATTTAATCTCAAAAATGTCCGTTAGATCCCCGCTCTCGGCATTACCCAGGATCAACGACGTGGACGTGGCGAGGATTTAATCCCTGTGTGTGTGTGTGTGTGTGTGTGTGTGTGCGCGCGCGCGCGCGCGCGTGCGTGTGTGTGTGGTGCGTGTGTATGTGTAAAAAAACTGGTTTTTACTTAGTACTTATATTTTTTATTTCATTAAGAAGCTCTTGTCCCGAAAATGTTAATCTTCATCAGAATTGTTTTGATCACGTTCTTCAGAAGAACTGTCGACACTTTCTGAAAAAGAACTTCTTTCTTGTGTAGGTGCTTGTGGCAGTTTTAAAAGACCGATAACTTCTTTTGGAAGTGGTCTTAACTTTTTAGACGGAACTGTTATCTTGGAACCAATTACAGGATCGGATGAGATAAGCAATGCGTGAATTAGATCGGTCATAGTATGCAGCCTTGAACACTTTCTCGTATTATTTTCACGGTATTTTTTTATATCTTTATTTCGCAATTCCTGTGCTTCCTCAGAGAGTTGACCAATTGGCAGTACAGCGTTTTCTATGATCGCTGCACCATGAATCAAAATTTTATGTACAGAAGCTGGCATAAAATACCAATCCGAGCGCGAGTCGAACCCTTTCGCCGAATCTTAATCACGCGAGAATATACCGGCGATGCGCCGCGTAGCGAGCGCGAGTCGAACCCTTTCGCCGCGCGAGCCCGCACGCCATTTTTGAAAGCGCACGTGAGCGCACAAAAATCAGGCGTGATTTTGAAGTTTAAGTATCAACTAACAAAATGCATGTGGTCTCCAAGTGGAACGATGTGGAACACTCAAAATATATTAAAAGAAAAATGCCAAATTTTTTTTTATTACGTTTTACATAAAAAAAACCAAAGTTTTTTCATAATATTATTGTATAAGCTGTACTTTTTTCCCATTAAAAATAAACAGTTATATTAAAAATATTCCCCAAATAAGCCCCAAGGCTTACATTCAACGATATAATTATAAAATAAACACATATATATTCTGTATAAGAGTTACGCAATTTTAATTGTGATTTACATTGTCAGTACTGAATGAGAACAAGAACACCATTGAAGACCTTATGCTTATGGAAAGTATCTCAGAAAGTAAGAAAAACAAAAATATATTGCAATATAAATTTAGCAACAAGTGCAAAAATGGATTTTTGTCCAGCTCTTGGCCCACTGTGCGATGTCTAGAAATTATTTATCGATGTTCTATCTTTGGGTTTTTTTTTTAAGTAGTTTTCTAGATTTTAGCCTGTCAATCGTAAACAAACAAGCATGCAGCGCTCTACCTCAGGTACGAGATATTTGTAACGTGTTCCGCATATAAATGTTTAATTATTTATAAAAATAAAAATATTTTAATGACAATATTTAGCGGAAGATACCATTTTAGTACATTTCTTGTTGTATATATAGAGACGCTTCTGAGGCATAGTATGACGTGCGCGATCGGTGGTTTGCTGTCGAACCTCGAGCGAATATTGGCGCAACCCACTGCATCCATGCACGCATACACTTTTCCACCCACGCAACAAATGGTTATCTTCTTTCTAATGTTATTCCTAATCCATACAGTGGGATATAATGTGAGACATTTTTATAATTATCAAGTTAAAATCTAGAAAACTCGAAGGTGGGACATCGATAAATAATCTCTAGATATCTCGCGCTCGTAACAAAATCCCAATCGGAAAGATCCATTCGGGAGAACACCCGACTTATGTATAACATTTTTTAAAATATATTTCTGCTTATAGAACATTCTACTAAAATTTATGCAAGAAAAAAACTTGAGGCACCCTGTATTATAATGGCAATTATGCAGAGATAGGGGCAACCTTTCGATTTTAATAATGAGATATATTATCAATTTTGAGATATATATTATCAAAGTCATTAGCCTGTGTAACCTTTTAATTGGCAATGTTTATTAAAAAGTTATTAACAACACAAATTTATGAGAACATAACTTTCTGTCACTATATACATTTAAAAATAAATTTACACTTTGCTGAGGCTTATTTTTTTTTTTTTTTTTTTTATTTCCATGTACATCAGTAACGCGCATGGACCTCGCTTCCTCGCTTTGCGTGGAAAATTGGAGATACATGTAGAATAATATGTGTGCTAAAGAGAATTAAAATTTGGGAGGTTTGCCTGCTCATATATGTGCTATTTCTTCATACATATATATACTCCAGTACTGAATGCAACTTTTACATTTTTTAAACTTTTTTTGCCAATAACTTTTTGATGGCCAATGATCGCTTAAAACCTTTCAAATATGTATTGTATTTGTTGGTCACTCGTTACACTCGTTAATAGGGTAATGACCTTGACAACATATTTCAAAGTTATTGAAATCGGAAATGGTCTCTATCTCAGCATAATTACCATAACTATATTTAAAAGAACTAACAATAAGATAAAATATTCGTATAAAGCATCAAAGCCAAAAAGAAGGTATTATATTTACCATCCGGTATTCACGCTGCATTTCAGGTAAAGCAAACGAAATGACTAACTGTGTGATCGTGTCATGTATCGGAACGTAGTACCATATAGTGTTAAAGTCTTCATCCTTGAATGGATATTCAGAATACATAGGAAGTTCAACTTCCTTGTTTTCTACATTACAAAAGCGTTCTATTACCATATTTGTGAGATCATCTAAACTTTCTAAACAAAAAATTTATTTGTTAATATAATATACATACGCTTATGGCACGCCGTTTTGCTATTTAATACCATCATAAAAATTATACCAAATTAAATTGATACTAAAAATAAAAGAAATTATTATTATGTCTAGACAATTCATCGAATTATTATTAAGCTATCACATAATTGAAAATACAAAAGTAAAATTATGTTTAGACAAAATATTAATTCGGAATTTATTTTATGTTATGACATAAAAATTTTTCGGAAATTAAAATTATGTAAATAATGGAAATTCTCAATAAATATTATGTCTTGACATAATAAAAATTTCTTTTGATTTAAAATTTAATATGTAGGATTAAAATGACATTAGCACGTAATTCTAACTTTCAATTTTTATTATGTCGTGGTATAATTTTTATTCGCCAAAATTCGATTAGGTTATGACAATTTTAATTCATAAATTTTTATTATGTCGTAGCATAATTTTAATTCACTGAATTACTATGGTAAAAAATTTTGTCTTGACATAAAAGTAATTCCACGTACGTATAGGCTATATCTTTCTTTGTGTATGACATGTTGTTTACTATTTGTTAAAAAGATATTTGTATTTTTAACTAATTTTATGTCAAGACTATTTTAATTCATTTTCATTATGTTATGACATAATACAAATGGTTCCAAAAAACTATTTACTTCAGTTTAAATCAATTATTAAATTTTTAATTTAGGTTAACAAATATTATTAATGAATATTAAGCGGCGTGCCATACATTACATAATAATATGTAACAAAAAATTATATGCCTGTTTATGGCAAAAGATATAATTTTTTTCAAAACTACAAGAAATATATTAGAAATATATTTTACTTTGTATTATACAATTAAATATTTCACATTTTGATCGAACCTTTTTTAAAAATATTGACTATAATAATAAATTTATTGCGTTAAAACTTTAGAAAATTTTTGAAATTTTATGTAGTAATTTATGAAGACCAATATTTCCACATATTTTAGTTACAGTACTGATAAGATTATATCTTCTTTCTTGAAGATAAAACAATGAGATGTTTAATACAATAACTGATAATAAAATGTGCATTAATTCATTAATTATTAAAATTTTACTTATCATTATTTACGTTTCCCTTAGAAAAAAACGAAAAGTGAGTTAAACTAAGGTTAAAAGTTAATCGACGCTGTGCACTGGGCCTTAGTACTTATTCCAAAATTTAAATATTTGTATGTATAATAGTATGAAAAGCATTCAAATCATAAAAAGTTATAAATTATCGCCGTACCTTTACCATGAATACACAGTGACATAACATTTGCAGAATAATATGTGTTATAAAACTCTAATAGCCTATTTCTAACATTAATGTTCTTCTCCTTCGGTATTTTGCTTAAACTCTCTCCATTGCCTGTGCCGAATTTTGAATATGGTTGATCTGGTTTTATACATAATTTCTCTAATTGAATATATCGCCGTCCGTGTAGCGTTAAATATTCCTTGTATTCTGCATCTATAGATCCATTTATCTCCTTCTCTATTAAAGACTCTCTAAAGAGAGGCGCTATGAAAAACTGCGCAAATCGATCTAAAACTTCTTTGAACTTCTCCGGAGATGCAGTAAACCAATAATTAGTGGAGCTTAAGCTTGTCGTTGCATTTTGCTGACCGTTAGACTGCGTCACGTACATATGGTAATCATCTTGTTTACGATATTTCTCCGTTCCCAGCAGTAACATATGCTCGCAAAGGTGCGCTAATCCAGGTAGATCATCGGGATTACAATTGTCGCCTGTAACATATTTGATCTTTACTTAAATAATCTTTGAAACTGATAATGTGATATTAATTAATAGAAACATATTAATCTTTGATTATATATATATATATATATATACATATATATATAATTTTTGCTATACATATATCTATATATTGTATATATATAATTAAATCTATCCAGAAGAAAATGTAAACATTTATTAATAGTGTAGAATGACTCAGAAGAGGAGAACACATAAACTGCACATTTAACGTTGATTTTATATACCACAAATACATAATGTTATTAAGCAGAAATTACAGGTTAAATTACAGAAACCTAAATGTTAATACATTAAAGGATATTAAATATATTAGAATTAGACCAATAAAAAAGTCATTTATTTTTTGACTATATATTTTTTGTGATAACTTATAATTCATGCACAGATTTTATAAGAAAGTTCATATAAGTATTATTAAAAACATCAAGTTAATGCATAAAAAAAGAAATAATATACATATAATTACCGGCATTAACATCCATCGATGCAAAACTGATATCAGTTGATGGATCGCTTATTAAAAAAATTCTCATTTTATTAGTAAGTACTAAGCCTCTGTACGATCTAGAGTCATTATCTGGATGTATGTTATCGAATTGTTCTTCCACACAATTATGATTCGACATGTTGGTCACCACTGCCGCAGACTCAAAAATATTATTTCTAAACATGAAGAAATTACAAATAAAAACTTAAAGGATATATAAAATTTTCAATCTATTATATCTATACAACAACGATGCTGAAAAATATTGTAACTAAAACAAAATTATAACTTTTTAGGAATTATTCGCACAATAGTCTTTATGCTCGAGCGGAGGAAAGAAAAAGAGACCTTCGAGATTCAATGTAAATCCGGAAATTATAGATTATAATCGTCTAAAAGTTGTATTTACACAGTCTTAACATAAATGTTTATTTACAGATTATGTACGAGTTAATTAACCCGAGAACGCGCGCGCGCGGGCGCTGGGGCTACCTAAACAATCAAGTGTCGAAAAAATGAAGCTCACGTCACAGTAATTTATACGTGCTTCTTTCGTTTTTCAAATTTTTTTTGTTTTTTCTTTACTTTTCTCGGAAAATGTTGAATAAATTTATATACGTATTGTCCTCAAATATTGCTAAATTATAGAGCAATCCAAAATATGCAATATATAATTAATAACAATAAGATTTAATTGGGGAGTATAAAAGTAGCCCTAGGCACCAGATCACCGTTACTCAGCGAACGAAAAGACACGTAAACTTTTTCGGAACGCAATAAAATCACACACACTGTCGCAACTAAAGACTGGAGGTCGAGTGCGAGCCCGCGCGCGAAGGTCCGGGGTTCTATTGTCGCGAATTTCGCAAGCTTCTCAAACCTCGAATCTCTAACAACGAGCCAAGAAATTCACCGAGCCAATCTGTTGTCGACAGCCTGAGAAATTTTCCAAGTGTTAACGACTCAGCTGATCTCGGAGACAACCGATCAGCTGTTGTTGTATACCAACTCTTCGCTTTGCCCCTAGTGTTTACCTCGCACTGAGTTCCCAAGACCAAGTATATGTATAGTGAGTCGGCATGGCATAGGCAAAAACGAGGCATCGTTTTTCTTTTTTTTTTTTGGAAATATATGCCGTCTATTTCCGAAGCAAAATTAAGCTGTTATTTTATTAAGATTTTAGGATATATTTTCGCCGTTTAACGTCGCGAAAACCATGCAAATTTGCAGAAAAAATTTATCAATATTTTAAGGCGGGGTTTTCATTAAGCGGCATAGAGAAAAAGGGTTTGATTTTGAATAGTTTTTTTCGGAAAATCTCTGACAATGAGTCACAAAATAAGATATCAATAATATCAAATGTTACATAAAACATTGAATAAAAGTATTAAAATGTTGTACAGTAATGCCAGCAAGTTTCACATTAGCCGATCTTTTTGAAAATGAAGAAGATTTTATCTGGAACGTTTCAAGCAAGTAATACTTTTTGTTTTTTATAAAAATAAACGCTAACGGCAAGCACTTTCATTAATGGTTTTTGAACTTTAATATTTGATTTTTATTTTTGCATATGCGATTAAGAGCTGTGTGAAGTTGGCCCCCCCACTACTGAAAATTCAATAATAACTATAACCATTCGTTTGGTGGTCGTTTGGTGGTGTTTGGTAGTCCATTCCCGACGTTTGGTAGTCAAAGCTGTAACTAATAATGCGAAAAAAAGACATATGCG